ACAGTGTGTTTGGGCTCAGGAGTTCACATATCTCCCTAAATTTCAAATCAACCAGCCCGTCCTCTTTTCTCTCTCATTTCAAGGTTATTGGGCATCTGTGGAATATGACCAACCTCAGCATGTCTTCTTTGCCACATTTCCCCCTTCTACTCACAAGTTGACTAGCACTGTTGCCCTTGAACCTGTATGATGTTCTTGATGCCATCCCACAGCTCTTGTGTTCACATGCATCCAAATGTGTTGTTGAGATGGTCTCTAAATTTAGGTGGGGTATGATCAAGGTCATATTTTGGCTCTTGTGGGTTTGTTTTAATTTTCTTCAGTTTTAGTCTGAACTTTAATATGGATAACTGATGATCAGAGCAAATAAAGCAAGCTAAAGGAATTCATATCATGTAATTTCTTTTATGTTGGAAAAAAACCAAAAATGGTAAAAAGCTATTCAAATGGAACAATATTTAGTTTTTTAGTGGCAAAACAGTGAAGACATGCAAGGAAATCATGAGCTAATTGGAACGCCATTACTGTAAGTACCTGGGAGGTTTTATGCCTTTTTGTTCCTTACTTTGTGCATATACACTGTTTGCTTTCTGTTGTAGTTAACAATTAGACAGTGTGTAAGATATGCCAGCGCCAAAGACTTCTGTAACCCTTTTCTCTGGATGAAATGGAGAGGTCAGCTTTTACAATTTCCAGGCTTCTGACTCCCGCGTGCCTATATAGTAGTGATTATCCAACAACATATATGTCACCAGTAGTCAGAGCAGTACCGTTGTGTGTGGTGCTGTAGGGTAAGCACTAGACAAGATATGTTTGAATCACAGGGTTGTCAGTTCAGACTTACCAGTTGCTCCTCGGAAACCCTATACATGGTCACTGAATGAGAACTGACTCGATGGCACTTAACAACAACTTGATGAGGTGGGGCTTGATGTCGGATAGGGTAGAGGTGCAGTGAAGTTCTCCATCAGCAATACCACAGAATACCAGGCAAAGCGGGTTCAGGGCAGAGCTCCAAAACTCTGAACCACATAGGTAGGAATATTTAAAAAGTTTGAAGGCTTATAGCTAGTGAAACTTCTAGCAGAAATAAGAAATTGTGTAGTTTTGAATTTGCTGGGCTCAGCAGCCCAGAGCCGACAACTTGGGCAAAACCAAATAGCAAGACCAAGCGAGGGAGCAGACCCACCACAGAATTAACTCCCCGGGAACCTGGGAGCAAAGGTGGACAATACACTGTTGGTTTTGCTTTGTTCTGATTTTCTTTTTTGGTTTCTATTCATTGGCCACCCACTGTTTGTGCACCTCCATACTGGTGACTAGAGGGGGGGCCTGGACATTCCCCCCCCCCCCCCCCCACTGCTGCTGGGTTCTTCTGCCGTGCATACGCACAGATACTGTCAGCCCAGGAGCCACCCTAAACTGTTTTTTAATAGGTAAAAAGCCAGCGCAAGGTGTGTGGAAAGGGAAAGAGAGTTTAAAAACAAAACAAGCCAAAAATTTAATTAAATCCTGGGGTCCAGCATAACAACCAACAGTGGCATCTTGAAATCTCTGAGGCAGCTAGCTTGGAAGGCAAGAAACTGAAAGAGGACATTAAAGTCATACTCATATTAGGCTACAGATTTTTTTTTTTCTCTCCCTCCTCTCCCCAAGATTACAGTATGCAATCTACTTTTTGTGTTGTTGTTTTGGTGGATTTTTTTTTTTCCCCTTTGTATTTTTGTTGTTGCTGTTTTATGCTCCCCTTTTACCTTTGGGGACTCTTTCTCCGTATATAACCCAAAAAGAGACAGCAACTGCTGACATATAGTCAAGCTACAATCACAACCTATAAAACACCAAAAATTCAGGCAAAAACCAATACTAACTGCCATATACCAGGGAGGCAGACAACACCTGTGAGAGTTACTCTGAGTTAAGCAATAAGAAGAGTGAAAAGGGAAGCCCACATCCTGATCACATCTACCTGGAGGCAATCAGAAAGCATAAAAAATACATAATTAAGTATTAAGGCCACAGATAAACACTAAACATGTCCAAGAAGCAAAAGCAGATGACCATATCAGCACCTTTCCAGAAACAAGATAAATGTCTGAGACAAATGACCTAGAGGTAGATTTGGACTGCATTCCAGAAGGAGGGCAGGCCTTGGAAATGCCTGAGAAGGAATTCAGAAAAATGATTATAAAATGTTTCAAAACCCTTTACAATGGAGTTGAGAAAAATAAAGAAAAAGTCAAAAAAGCGCAACAGGAACAATCAAATAGAATAGATACAGCATTGAAACAATTTGGAACCTACAGAAAGAGGTCCAAATGATCAATAATAGAATATCAGAATTAGACAATACACTGAAAGGACGAAGGAGTAGAAGTGAAGAGATGGAAGGCAGAACTAGTGAGCTAGAAGACAAATCTGTCAATACCACTGAGATAGAAGAGCAAACAGAAAAAAAGATAAAAAATCTGAAGAAGGTCTAAGATTCATGTTGAACAACATGAAGAGGAATAACAAGAATTATCGGCATTCCAGAACAGGAAGACTCACACAAGTCCACAGAGGAAATAGTTGAAGAACTGCTGGCCGAAACTTTCCCTAACGTCCTGAAAAGTGAAAAGATAAACATTCAGGAAGCTCAACGAACCCCAGGAAGGATAGACTCCCAAAAGAAAATCACCGAGACATATAATCAAGCTCTCCAAAATCAAAGATAAGGACAGAATCCTGAAAGCAGCTAGGGAAAAGCGAAGTGTGACATACAAAGGCAAACAAGTTAGATTAAGCTCGGATCTCTCAGCAGAAACCATGCAAGCAAGAAGGCAATGGGAAGACATAAATAAAATCTTGAGAGAAAAAAATTGCCAACCAAGAATCCTTTATCCAGCAAAGCTATCAATCAAATACGACAGTGTAATCAAAACATTCCAGGATAAACAGAAGCTAAGGGATTTTGGCAAAGCCAGCCCTGCCCTACAAAATAGCCTAAAGGGAGTTCTGTGGACTGAGAACCAACAAGAATAAACAACAACCAGAGATTGACATATGTGGCAGCACCTCCCAGAACTAAATTGACAGAAGGAAGAATCAAGAACAGAACACAACTATAAGAACAAACTCAGAGACTCTGGAGGTCAGTCTATGATCAAAACAATACAGTGTAAAAGAAGGTAAACACGTAGGAACAGAGAAGGTCAGGATTACAGGATAAAATAGACTGCACTAAATGGAGAGAAAAGTTAATGGAATATAAGGTAATCTCAAAGAAAATTAATACTTCACAACATACCAAGAAAATGAAAATCCAAGAAGAATATGGAAACATTAAAACTATGAGGAAGCTCACAGGAAAGAACACAAAACGCATGAACTCAGCAAAGGAAGACACACAGAGCAAAGAAAGCAGCAACACCACAAAAACAAACATACTGGCAGCAATTAATCAATACCTATCGATAATTACACTGAATGTAAACGGAATAAATGCACTAGTTAAAAGACAGATGGTGGCAGAATGGATAAGAAAACAAGATCCTTGAGTATGCTGTCTGCAAGAAGTACATCTCACACACAGAGGCAAAAACATTGAAAGTCAAAGGATGGAAAAAAAGATACCAAGCTCATTGTAATAAAAAACGAACAGGAGTGGCAGTACTAATTTCTGATAAAATAAACTTTTAAGGCAAAGCCCAGCATAATAAATAACGATGGACATTATCTCATGATTAAAGGGACAATTGAACAAGATGACATAACCATAATATCTCTGCTCCAAGTAAAAGAGCTCTAAAATATATAAAGCAAACTGTAATAGATTTGTAGAAAGAAATAGACGAATCTACAATAATCGTGGGCAATTTCAATACACCACTTTCAAAAATGAATAAAACAAGCAGAAAAAAACTTAACAAAGACACGTAAGAACTAAACAACCCAGTTAGCCAACTGGACCTCATAGATTTGTACAGAGCATTCAACCCAACAACAGCACAATTCACATTCTTTTCCAGTGCACATGGAACGTTCTCCAGAATAGAGCATGTGTTAGGCCACAAAACAAACCTCCATAAATTTACAAATATCAAAAATACTACAAAGCATCTTCTCAGACCACAATGCATAAAATTAGAAATCTACAATAGGGAGACCAAGGAAATAAAGTCAAATACATGGAAACTGAGTAACACCCTCCTGAAAAGCGACTGGGTAGTAGAAGAAATTAAATGTGAATTCATAAAGTTTCTATAAACAAATGAGAATGTAAGCACAACATACCAAAATTTTTGGGACACAGTGAAAGCGGTGCTGAGAGGACAAGTAACAATTTATCAAGAAGAGCATTTGAGATTGTCCTTTTTAAAAAATTTTTGGTTCACTTTTCCTATTTCAAGAAAATATGTAAATTCTATTTCTGGATCATCTTTGTTTAATTCACAGTTTATTAATTCATGGCTAATTTATGTTTGTAATTATGTATATGACATTTTCTGTTTTGTTTTTTTTCATTGCAATAGTCCAACCCTCTCTCCTTTTTTTTAAGGGTTTTCATTTTCTATTTGAAATTTAATTTTCAATTTTCATGTTTTTCAGTAAGAGTAGGGTAGTAAATATTTTTATGACATGGTTGAGTATGTCAGGAAATACGTTATTTAAATGTAAACATTATAGTGAAGCATTTAAACATACTGCTTATGTCGCTGTAGGATTACTGAGTTGGCAGACACCGCATTTGAATGTGACAATACTAAATGCTTGTGAGGAGCCCCGGTGGCACAGTAGTGAAGCATTTGGCTGCTAGACTTCGTGGTTTATACCCAGCAGCTACTCCATGGGAGAAAGACGTGGCAGTTTACTTCTGTAAAAATTACAGCCTTGGAAACACTGTAGGGGGAGGTTCTATCTTTAGCCCTTTCTTCCCTTAAAACTGGAGTCATTTTTACTAGGGTAAAATTTTTTATTGAATCTGGAAATAATACGTGTGATTCCTTAATGTAGTTAAGTTATTACTATGCACTCGTGTTCTATCAATGGAAAATACTTTGATTGGCTTCTCATCTCGAGGAGGAGCTGTTTCAGAGCTGGTGTGCGCTATTATGTAAGAGGTAAGATGAATTTTCTCAGCATGATTCAGTACTGTGTCAAATCTGTCACTAATGAACATTATGTCTGGCAGTGACATTTGTTTTCATTATCGTCTGATACATAAATATTTATCTCCTGCTGCATTGTAATAATTAGGTAGGTCTTTGCTTAGAGAGAAGCTTTGGTGGAACCATGGTTAATGCTGTCTTCCGTTACTAAAAGGTCAGGGGTTCAAACCCACCAGCAGCTCCTTGGGAGCAAGAATGGCAGTTTGCTCCTGTACACTTTGAAACTCCTGCTGTGTGTCAGAATCAACTCAACTGCAGTGGGTTTAGTGGCTTTTTATTTTTCCCCTTGCATTACTTCAGCTATTATAACTACATTGCTCTTTTTACCTTTTACCAGAACATACAGAATAAAGTTTTATGTGCTTGCTATGAAATAAATCACACAAATGTTGAGCTGGAAATTACCATTGAGGTTATTTGGTTACCTTCCCTCAATACAGATGACATACCAGAGAACGCAAGGCATTGAGCCAATGACAGCCAAAGTTTCACATTTATCCTTGTGGCTACTTTTCATGCTTCCTCTCCCCCTTCTGTCGTACACAGTGGCTATTTACTATGCACCTTGGGGTTTTCGTTTTCTTTTTTAACTTAGCAGTATACCCCAGAAATCTTTTCTTAAATATCCTATTGTCATTGTCTTAAATAACTGCATGCAATTTCACAATGAGGACTATGGAGGGAAACAAGCACAGTCCATATTTCTGATAAATAATCTTTGAAAGTATTGAGGAATCCTTTTACTTCTGATTTGGTACAAGAATTTTCTCTCTGGAACTTTCTCACCTACTATACTAACAAAAATTAGCAGACATCTCAAAATAACATATATGCTTAAGAAAGATGTCAGAAAGGATGTTAAGAACTATTTGGAATAGTTCAAACTCCATTAATTTCTTTAGAGTAATATGGGTCAGGGACTAGCTAGAAAGTTGGTTTTGTTTAGCAAGTATGCGTGTTCTGGGCAAAAAAAAAAAGGATCATATAGAGAAAATCCTAAAAGACAGCTTCACATTCTATATACCGTAGAGCAGTGCTTTTAAAATTAGGTTTCATGTGCTTATAGAGTTCTTAAAATTCAAGATGTGTAGACGTTTTGCGTCATTACAAGTGAATATTATCTGCATAATTACCCACATTTGCACTTAATGTGTTATTTCTAAGTATGATTAGGTTTTAACTTTGAGAATACTGGTTTTCAAACTGGAATCTGTGGACATACTCTCAAGAGTGCTTGAGAATTTTTTTTCTTTAGTGTCTCAAGTTTGAAAAATACTGTGTTGGAGGAATTGTGCATGTATAAACAATTGATGTTTAATTAGCAACTAATTTTGTCTTTATAGTCATTAGTCCTTAATGTTCCTCTCTAGATCAATTTAAATGTAAACTTCTGTTAGCTTTGTGACCATGCATTTGTTGTCATTTATTACTGCTTTTCTACTTAATTCTTTCCAAGTAAGCCCAAATTACTTAGGTTCTGATGTGTTTCTTATGTAATAAATAGAGTTAACTTTTTAATCTAGGAATTGATTCTGAAGGCCACGCAGCTAACTTTGTAGAAACAGAACAAATTGTGCACTACAATGGGAGCAAGGCTTCATTTATGCAGGCAAGTTCAGCCTACCAAGTGGCCTTTTCTGCTTGAATCATAACTCTCTATCATGTTTTTGAATTTCCTTCCCCTCACCACCCCCTTTTTTCTAATTTTAAAAATAATACCCTTATCTGCAGTGTGGGAGAAAGTTCGCTCAGAACAGGGATATTCCATTTATCTGGCCCTTACCTGTTGACATTTTCTGTCCTTAAATCCCTAAAAGAGAGAGGGTAGAGGACGTGGCAAGGGCTATGCAAACAGCCACCTATCTGCATCTGCGGCCCCCTCTTTAGATTTATTCAGGGTGACAAAGGAGGGCCAAGTTGCTGGTTACCCTTGGCTGTACCTGCCTCACACTTAACTGAGAAACAGTACCTCCTTAAAAATTGTAAATCTGTGGATGCCTGCTGCTCCACAAAGTAGTGACTAAATCCATTCAGGTGTTCATAAACTTACTCATTTGAGAACGAATAAGCCTGATGCCAAATTACAGTTTCAGATTTAGAGGGAAACAGAACTGTCTGCTGTACAAGCAATGTGTACGTAGAATCAGAGAGAACACCCTTTCCAAATGTATTCCCATAAGTTAGGGACTTCCTGAGGAGGCACACATGTAGACTTCTCTCAGAGTTGTTATAAGTTGGTGTTGTATTTTGCTTTGCAAAATCATTGCCATAAGAGGGGCCTCAGAAAGTTCATGGACAAATGGAATTAAAAGATAATGAACTTTTCCATGAACTTTTTGGAGTCCCCTCCCTCAGATGCATCCTGACATTAGTTAAGCTGAGAAAACAAGAGTGTTTTGTTTTTCATTTCATATTTCTTTCTTTCCTTTTAGACTCGAGGATCAATACCAGTTTTCTGGTCCCAAAGACCAAACCTCAAGTACAAACCACTGCCGCAGATCAACAAAGTAGCAAATCACGTGCGTGTCTTCCCTGCATGTCCTTTGATTAAAATAAAAGATTAATAGCATGATAGTGTGCGTACGGAACACATTTGTTCCTTGTAACAGAAGTCAGTGTCTTTGAGGTCCTTCTCTGGTTTTGGCACGCAGCAGACCTAAAAACAAAAGGTTACGTTAATGGCATGCCAGAAATGTGGGGGAAGTTAACCGAATGACTTGGCATGTTAGATTATAGAGATCTCAGTAAGATTAACAACTTTACATTTTTTAGAACATTTTTTAGTATATTCTCTTCAAGACTGTATTCAGAATTAAAATAGTAGTATTGCAGAGTAGAGTAACACATAATTATTAAGTACTACAAAGTATTGGTGTGGCGCTGGGGGTTAATGCACCAGGCTGCAAAGCCACCGTTTGAACTGCAAGGTCAGCAGTTCAAGCTCACCAGCTGCTCCTCGGAAACCCTACACAGGGTCACTATGGTCAGAACCAACTCGATGACACTTAATATACCAGCAAAATATTTAGAAAATATGGTTCCCGTCTTGATCTCAATCCTTGAATATAAAGTCATAAAGAGGTAATTTAAAAGATCTTATACATACTCCTGTGATCTGGTAAATTATATAACTTCTTAATTTTCCCTCCTAGATGGATGGTTTCCAAAGGCATTTTGATTCACAAGTATTTATTTATGGAAAGCAAGTTATACTCAATCTGGTATGTTTCTGACATGTTTCTTAAACACAAAACTGTGGCATACTACTTCTTTAGATCTTTAAAATAAGTGTGACTATAAGCTCTGGGTGTTTTTAATTTTTGTAGGTTAACCAGAAGGGCTCCGAGAAGCCACTTGAGCAGGCATTTGCATCAATGGTGTCTTCCTTGGGAAGTGACATGATCAGGTACCACACTCATTTCCTCTACTCGTGAAAGATGCACACTCACATATACACACTCTCAGACACACACAAGTACACTGATCTCACTAGATGTTTTAGCTTGCATTGTCTACTATAAGGGTATCTACACCTCATCTGAGAGAACCCTGGAGGGTTTAGGAGCGTCTCTCTTCATCCACTTAGAAACCCACACTGCATCATTTCTTTGGAGCCAAGATAGTCCCAGGAGGATAGCGCCTCATCTAAATCTTTACTGTGCAGATAAAAGCGTACCAGTCTTGCTGCTGTGTGGCTGATATTGATCCTGGAGCAGGGAGCTGGACAGAGCAGGACCTATGGGAGTTTTCATGTATCCGTGCTGCCCAGGTTTCCTGCACTCCTAACTGTGACTCTCAGTTAATGATCTTTACTGGCCTTGTGCTAGGACACCTTCACTGTCAGACATCATCTGACTCTACAATTGTGTCTCCTAAGTGTTGCAGGCTCAGCTTTCTTGGAGTTGGCCCTCAGCTCATGGTGGTCCCATCTGGAATGGCAGTCCCAGGACTGCTTGTAGGTCAGAGTTTTCGTAGTTGAGTTTGGAAGTAGGCTGCCAGGTCTTTCCATCTAGTCCCTACTAGTCTGAGGCTCTGCTGCAGCCTGCTCATCACCCCAACACATGAGCTTGCATTGGCCATGAACTGAACCCAAGTTTCCCACATGAGACAACTTACTACAAATTGACAGGAGAAGGATTTCTGCCCCATGCATGGATGATACATAGATACTGGTAAAGGATAGTGTATTTTGTTAGGATGGCCGGGAACTTACAAACTAATCTTCCTTGGACTCAATGGCTTGGCCATTTTACCTGACTTGAACAAAAAAAAAAGGAACCTGACACTTTTTACATAGATTGTAGAAAATTGGAGGTAGCCTGGTGGCACTATGGTTGTGGCACTTGACTGCAAACCAAAAGACTGGCAGTTTGAACCAGTCAGACGCTCTGTCTGTAGGAGAAAACGGTGACAGTCTGTTTCTGTAAAAATGTGCAGCCTGGGGACTGTGGGGTAGTTCTGCTCTGTCTTACAGCGTTGCTGTGGGTCAGAATTGACTTGACAGTAGAGATTTGGTAGAAAATAATACATGATAGCTAGTCAGACAAGGCCTCTTTGTACTATGTACTTAATTACTGTACCTGCACCCACTTCTTTAGCATTTGTCTGGGCTTCTCTTCTCTTCCTACCTGAGGGCCCCTAGAAGAACATGTACATGCATGCATGTGTTTGTGTGTGAGTAATAGATATATGTGTGGATGGATGTATATGTATTTGTCCCAGAGGCATGAGATTGAGGAGCTGGGGTCTATGTGTGTATGTGTAATGGTAAATCATTCAAGAGTGGAGGTGCATATATATGTGTGTGTACTGGTAAATCCAGAGTGGGGACACTCCACTGATGTAAGAGAAGAATCAGTTTATAAAGGTGTTATTGATAGAAGGGAAAGGAATCATCTTTGGTCAGTTTCTGAATTTGTTTTTCTTTTGATAGGTACATTGCTTTTGACTTCCATAAGGAATGTAAAAATATGAGATGGGATCGACTAAGTATTTTATTGGATAAAGTAGCAGAAATGCAAGATGAATTAAGGTAAGTTAAATGATCTCCCTTCAGAGATGGGAACAGATGTGTTTTTCTATCAGTCATACTTATTACTGCATTACCTAGCCGACTGAACAAATACCTGCTGGCTTGACAAGGGCTTGTCTATACAATTTTTTTGTTAAAATTTTAAATTATTTAAAATTTTAAATAATTATTTAAGCCCAGGTACTTTCATGAAAAATTATTCATTTTTTTTAAGATTTTATTATGAACTGAGTGATAGTTTACATGGGAGAACATCACTTTTGCACTCATCCTGTTGTGTTTTGTTTCATTGCAATGATTACAATCCTCTGCATGCATCATCATTGAACAGTGTTTGTTTTGATTCCCTTTGTTGATTTTTGTTTTTGATGTACACAGAAGCACTCAGGTATATATGATCATTTAAACAACCCAAGGGCACATTTTGCAAGCCAGCCTCCTGCCTGCCTTTTTAGCCTTTTCTTTCCATGAGTCTGGAGTCCTCAGCTGCCATCATCTCTGTCTCTGTCTCTGATGTCGCTGCTTCTCTGGTTAGGGTCCCATGTTCTGCTCATGCTCTTCTCCCTTGATGGTCCTAAGTTCATCCCTCTGTTGCTGGAATGTAAGATTAACTACTCGCCCCTTTAAGTTACAAAATGTCTACCTTTACAGTTGTGACAGTCATTATTAGTCAGGATAATAGTTACTCATTGTGGAATTAAAAGAGTCCTGTCTCCTTGTTTTTTCACCAGACCCATCTAAACAAGATGAAATCTATTCAGTGGGGATTCTGCCTTCCCCTGCACACTCTGAAACTATTGAAGGCATGTAAGCCACCCTCTTGAAAGCATGTAAGCCAGCCACTTCATGCCTTTATAACCCCTCCATTTTAGGAGTCCTGGTGTGTCACTGTGGTTCAATGCGCCAGACTGCAAAGCCTTTGAACTGCAAAGTTGGCAGTTCAAGCTCACCAGCTGCTCCTCGGAAACCCTATACAGGGTTTGCTATGGGTCAAAACTGACTCAAAAGCACTTAACAACACCAACAACATTTTAGGTAGCCAGTGTCTAAGTTGCCCATCCCTATCAACCTTGTATACCAAAGGGACAGGCTTGATCCATGAGGTGAATGAAGACTCCTTTCCTCTCAGTTGGTATATTGAGCTGCTACATCCGTAAGTATAGGTCAAGTTCATCAAATTGTAGCAATTTACACTTGCTTCCTTAATCAAATTTCTTAATCTTCCTCTAGTCAAGTTCTGATCATCAAGCTAGGTCAGATGGATACTATCTGCAAGTTTGGGCATTCTTGTGAGTCTTCCCTCACTTCATATTAGTTGGACGCTTTACTTTCAGCTCTAGCTCTCTATGGCTAGGTCAGTGTCCATGGGCTTAGGAGTTCCCAAGTCTTCCCCAGACTTCGGACCAACCAGCCCTTCGTCTTCTCTCTCTCATCTCAAGGTAGACAGGAGTCTATGGAAGGTGGTTTAACTCAGCCTATATCTTCATTACTGACTTTACCCCACTTCCACTCACATGTAGACCAGTGTGGTCGCCAACTAGCTTACATACTTGCTTGTGTGTTCCCTTTGCGTTTCAGTCTTGAAGGGGGGGTATTTGTCCTGAAGGGACGTGATTCCTTGCCTTGATGGCGCCCCAGCAAACAGCTTGCTTGTTCTTGTAATAGCCAAACAGACGGCTGTTTTTGTTTTTCCTGCTGGTCTGTCATTCAGAATACACATACATTTTATGTCATTACGTAATTGAAGTCAGTTTACTATTGTTTGGCATTCAGTTTTCACCACACACACTATCAGGGGCACTTTATCATTAGCTTAGCTTAGCTTTCATTTAATGTCTTCCCCACATTGCATTGTAGCGTATCAGTTCAATTTATCGTTCTTTCTCACATTGAGCCTGTGTTTTGTTTTGTTGTGTTTTCCCTACCATGAAAGATAATGCTGTAGTGAATCACTCTGGGTATGAAGAGAGCTTCAGAAATTTAGTGGAAAAGTTCCATTGCCTTTTAATTCCATTCTTTCATGAACTTTTTGAAGCTCCCTCACATATTGTTTTCCTGAAAGTGTTATAGATATCTGGGTTTATAGTGCTCTATGTGCATGCAAGTTGGTACTTCCTTAAAGTCACATAGTTGGATTCTTTAAACCATTCTCTCATTATGTTCTGCCTCTGCATATGCTAGTGATAAACCTGGCAGCCCAACTGTACCTTCTTTATTCTGTTACACAATCATAATAGGGAAACATCTCTATTAGATATTTGCTCACTTTTTTACATCTAAAGTTATCAGCTATTATTAAATCAGCCTTATTTCCTATGCGCTTTTAACCATGAACACAGCTAGTGAAGGGGGAGGACCTGTATCATGATTACGTTATTAAAAGAAAACATTGGCTGGGCCTTGCATATGGTCAGTCAGAGGGCTTCCTCGGCTAAACCATTGTCACCACCACACAAGGGAGATTTGATACCAAAATCTTTCCATCACCACTCCCTGTGCTCTAAAGAGGTAATCGAGCTTTCACTAGTGACTTTCAGGTGACCTCTCTGGGACAGTGGAAAGTATCTGGGCTATGGGGTCCAACGTATCTTGGTGTGAGATTTCAGTTTGCCTTGTATTAGCCATGTGATCCAGTGGCCGGCAACTTAACTTCAAGCCAGGCTTTCCCCATTTATAAAAGGGAAAGACTATCTACCTCATAGACTGAATTTAAAAGAGATGATATGTACATCCTAGCAGGGTGCCACCATGCACGTGTGTGCTAATATACTCACCTGTGTGATCTACACTTCTTCTAGTTCACTTCACCTGCTCCTATAGCCGTTGGTAAAGTTCTTGCACTTCCCCCCTCCATATGGATTTTGGGGAATGATTTTAGTAAAATAACCACTAGCTGGGATTCCATGTCTACATTGTCCCTTGTACTCTGCAAAGAACTTTATGTGCACTGTGTAGAATCTCATTCATACTAGCAAGCAGCCTCTGGGAGGTGCTCTGAGAGATTAAGGTTATTATTTCAAGTTACACAAATAGAAAGCTGTCCAAGGAGCTAAGACCAACAAATGGACACTGTGCCACTGCAGTCGAAACTCTTCACCACCACGCTGTGTGTCAGTCAGCAGGTTTCCAAATTCAGAAAGTCTTCTGCGTAATTTGTTAAAAATAAAGACCACACAGAAACTGCAGCCATCTGGGTGGTTAAGGGAACGAAGGGAAATAGTTTTTCATATCAGTGCCGCACTCTATAAATTTTGTGCTGTTTGCATTTTTTAAAAAAGGATTTTAAAAAATGTTTATTGCACAATATCCAACTCTTACTTCAAAGATGTCAAGTTGATGTCAGTGCCCAGAATCTTCATGTTTCACCAGCAGCCCAGAGATTCTGATGCTGCTAGTACAGACAGATAGGGGACTGAGCTTTGGCACCGTGCTGTGTAGGTTTTTAGTTGGAATCACTGCTGAAGGAAGCCCATTTCTGGTTTTACAGCAGCATAACTGATGACTACCGAAACCGCCACAGTACTGCAAACTCTGCTTCTTCACATTTCTATGTGAGCTCACCTCTAATGTTCCACTTGTCATTTTGGGTCGTGGGCTGCCTTGCTTCTGCTCTTCAAACCCTTTTTGGTCTGCGGTCAACAAGTTTACCTGGACCACACATCCTTGTCGCTCTTAATTTACCAGGTTCTGATACTGTCACTGATAATAATGCCCAGGTATAAGCAGTATGTCTGGAGTAGATGTGACTGACTTTGGTATGAGAGTGTTTATACAAATATGTTTTAGTTATTTTCTAGTGGACTCTGCTGGCAAGGTGGTGACAAACCAGGAAGGTGTGTTCCGCAGCAATTGCATGGATTGTCTAGACAGAACCAATGTGATCCAGAGTTTGCTAGCTCGTCGCTCACTTCAGGCCCAGCTTCAGGTGCTAATTCTTTTTTTCTTTTATTGAAGACATACAGCAGCAAAATTAGAGAAACTTCATCTGTAAAAACCAATTAACAAAATTAAAGAAATATGTCTATTACTTTCACCCTAACCCTGCTCCTTTTGCTTCTGTGTGTTGCTCTCAATGGGCATATACACACTTCCTGTAAACCATGGTCGGTATATAAAGGCACAGTTTTTAATCTAGTTCTTTGCATCTAATATTATGCATAGGCATAGTTAATGATGTTGAATTGTTTTACTACAGTTTACCAAGCTATTTAAGTTGTTAGATTTTTGGCTTGTAAATAATACTGTAGTGAATATGTCTATATATGTTGTTATTAAGTTGAATTACTTCCTTTGGATTAATTCCCAGAAGTAGAATTACAGTGTTTAAGAAAATACATGTGTTTCTTTCCAGTGGTGGCTGTGTGCCGTGGAGTCGGTTCTGACTCACAGCGACCCTGTACAGGGTTTCCGAGGCTGGAAATCTTTACGGGAGCAGAAAGCCTCATCTTTCTCCCACGGAACAGCTAGCTGGTAGTTTCGAACTGCTGACCTTGCGGTTTGCAGCCCGATTTGTAACCACTACGCTACCAGAGCTCCTTTAGTTTCCAGTGGGGTGGTACTAATTTACGTTGACACCATCATTGAATGTTGTTGTTGTTGTTGTTAAGTGCCGTCGAGTCGGTTCCGACCCACAGCGACCCTAAGGGAATCTATTTCCAGCATTAGATGTTTTTATTTAGAACATTTCTTTTTCCTTGTCGTATTTTAATAGTATAAAGTAGTAGTAGTATACCTCAGGGTAGCTCCCTTTTGCATCTCTTTGTTACTGGGAAGGGATATTCCCAGGTAAAAAGTTTTTGGCATAGCTTGGCTTTACCGCTAAGAATGTGCTGTTGAGAAAAATAGTTATGAGTATTGTTGTTTGTTTATATTTGGAATTAAAAATATGTAGAGCCTAAATTTCCGAATCCACTGGCATTTGTTGTGAGTAGCAAACAAAATGTACTCCAAATGGTGTCCTTCCTGTATAATCAGTAAGCATTCATCTTTGTTTATGATAATTCCTTGATGTGCAAGAGGGAATTATGGTAAAATAGTCATTTAGAATGAATTCTCCTTGAACTCTAAAGTGAAGCATGCTCTCATACCACAGGAGTAATTCCTCTGCTTGAGTGGTCTCCATTCTGAATATTGTAATAGCTAGGTCCTTGTTGAGCTGTTGGGTATATGTCAGTGTATATATTTCAAGAGAAACAATGGTAGGAATGGTTTGGTTCTAAGGCTGATTAATAAAACCTTCTTAGCTGGGTTCTAGAACCTGTACTAATTATTTTTATATGTTGTTGTTAAGTGCTGTCCGGTCAGTTCTGACCCATAGCAAACCTGAGGAGGGTTTCCAAGGAGCGACTTGTAAGCGTGAATCACTGACCTTGCCATTCAAACTGACTTTGCAGTCCAGCCCATTAACCCTCAGTGCCACACCAGGACTCCATTTGATGTGTTAGATGTAGTGTTATAAACCCCAGCCAGCCTGCAGAGAGTCTGTAGGCAGGAACCTTCCTTACAGCATTGCCAGCTAATGTGATGCTGTCTCCACTCCCCAGCTAAAAGGCAAGGTTCTGAGCTAGAGAAACTGAGACGTGTCATCCGTTGTGAGCAGTGAAATGATGGCTCTGAGAGTTGAGCATCTGTGGTTGGTGAATCCCTGAAGAGGTGTTATAGAGGAGATTCAGGGGCCCCATAGACCCCCTGAGATTACAGACAGGAGCTGTGTGTATTTGAACTATGTGGAGATATGTAGCATCCATCAGATGGGCTGGGGACACCACTGGGGGAACTGTGGCCTGGAGGGCAGTGGGGAGCGGGGACGGGGATCCGGTAGACAATTGGGTAGCAGGAGGGAAGCTCTTACTTCCCCTGCTGCCCTCTCCCTGAGAACAGTGGTGGTGGGTGGGCTCAAGGGAGATTGGGGTGTGCTGGGGAGAATTGCCCTCAGGAGAGCGCTCTCTGAGCTGGGACCCTTGTATGGGAGGAGAATCTCTCAGGGCTGTGTGTGGCCAGCATCCAGGGACCATGTGCTTATAATTTGTGGACTGTCTTTTTCTAACTAATTGTGTCTGCAGAAATCATTACACATAAGTATGGTTTGGTTGTTATTTCAGAGACTAGGAGTTTTGCATGTGGGACAAAAGCTTGAAGAACAAGATGAATTTGAGAAGATTTATAAAAATGGTAGGTATTTATAAAAATGGTATTTAATAGAGGTACTGAAACTTTGAAATAAAGTCACATTTTGTCCTTGAATCATTATCAGCTTTTTTTCCCTCTTACTCTTTTCACAGCCTGGGCTGACAATGCAAATGCTTGTGCCAAACAGTACGCAGGGACTGGTGCCTTGAAGACAGACTTCACCAGGCAAGCCACCCTTGTGACACACACGGTCCTGCTGCCTGTGAGACTCACAGCACCTGGGCCTCTCTCTGAATCAGTCAAGTCAGAATTTCAGACAGGGTTCAGGCACCAGTAGTACTCTAACACAGTGAGGGTGGAGCACGCACTTTGCCCCTGAAACACAGGTGGGGGTGGGGAGTGGAGGAGGTGTCTGTTAAATGTAGAGTGATTCAGCAGGTCTGTGTCGTGTCAGGGCCTGAGCTTCTTCAAGCCTGAAAAGCACCTGGGGATGCTGATGGCAGCTCTCACTCTGGGGCACTAGAAGCCAGGGTGTCTACAGCTTGTTACAACACACAGGGACATGATCTGTTCCATGGATCCCCTGAAAGCAAAGGCAGTTTTCTAAGGTTTTAATTTTTTTATTTTTGCTGTGTGATACTACTTAATCCAGACTCTCTGTTTCTTCCATTTCTTGTCTGTGCAACTGGAACTGTTTTTTATCCTTTTGTGTCTGTCTTTGGTATTTTGGAAAGAGAATACGTATTTCTTGCTACATTTCTTCTTGTGAACTTTTTGTCTAAATTTACAGGGTGATTTTTCAAGTCTCTGTAATTTAGTTACCCCCACACCACATGCTTGGGATCATACAACTATTTGAAAGCTGCTTGAGAATTTCATTTGCAAACCCATACATAACTCAGAAATGTAACCTCTTTCACCCAGAACTGGGAAGAGAACTCAGTTGGGACTTGTAATGGATGGCTGGAACTCACTAATACGATATTACAAGAACAACTTTTCTGATGGATTTAGGCAGGTACGTTTGTATCTATCTGGTGCCCGTGTGGTCCTTAGGTGGTTTGTACCATTGCGTTGTTCCTCAGTAAAGTATAATAATACAATGTTCTTCTATCTTTTCTAGGATTCCATAGACTTATTTCTTGGGAACTATTCAGTGGATGAATTAGAATCTCATAGTCCTTTAAGTGTTCCAAAGGACTGGAAATTCCTGGCTGTAAGGGACTTTCATGTTTTTCAAGACGTTAAAAAATAATTGTGTGTGAAGATGGCACCAGAGATGAAAGCATTCTGTACTCAAAGAAGAGTAGAGAGAGGAGTCCAAGAACTCTGGGGCATTTCTTTTTCCCCATTCCCTCACATCTTTAAGTGAGACATACAAGTTAAAGGAAATGTGGTTCTCATTTCAGGAAGTCCCCTTAGGTTCAGAGATTGCCAGAAGCAAAGTTGTAACATGTAAGACAATGTGTGCCTTTGGCTCCTTATTGAACCCCCTGCTCACTAGACTGTGTAAGGCTAAGTGCCTAGAATGGAAGGAAAGCCCTGGTGTCAAGGTTCTCCTCCAGACAGCCTCCTTCCACTGAACACTTCTTGATCTGGAGCAAAGGCAAACTTCCCCAGGTCTTGTAACTTAATCCCTCGGAAGACTTTGGCAGTCCTGATTGAGGCCTGAGAGTTGAGAGTAGGACATTTTGTTGAAAAAGTTGTTGGGTGCCTTTGAATTGGCTCAGACTTTGGTAGAGCAGAACGAAACGTTGCCCAGTCCTGCATTGCCCTCCGTCATTGCTCTGGTTAAAATCATCATTGCAGTCAAGACATTTTTATCAGAGTGCAGAGTTTCATTCTTTTTTAAGCCAAACATATGCAACTGATCTGGAAACGTTAATTAGCATTCTTTAACAGTGGTTTCCCTTTTCTCATTCTTTTTTCTAGTTGCCTATCATCATGGTTGTTGCCTTTTCAATGTGCATTATCTGTTTGCTTATGGCTGGTAAGTCTGCTCTGATGTCACATTCTGACATTCATTGCTTAGTAGAACGTTAAACCTTTCTTGTATAACGTTGTTGGACGCATATTCCCCATTAAATTTTTTAATGAGCAAAGTGAGCAGAAGAGATTGGTCCTTAGAAGTGAGAGGAGGGAAAATATATACCCAGAAGTTTGGTAAATGGTATTTCTTTTTACTTAAGATTTTAAAAAAGAACAACACAGTTTTTCTTACTGTCAAGTAACACCAAATAATAGACAATACAGTTGGTGGTGGTGGTGGTGGTTATGTGCCATGGAGTCGTTTCCAACTCATAGCAACCCTGTACAGGGTTTCTGAAGCTGTAAATCTTTATGGGAGTAGAAAGTCTCATCTTTCTCCCGCGGAACAGCTGGTAGTTTCAAACTGCTGACCCTGAGGTTAGCAGCCCGATTCATAACCACTACGCTACCAGAGCTCCTTTTAAAAAATACAGTTAGGCAAAGGAAAGAAAAAGTATTCACTATTCCACCTTCCAGAAACAAGCTAACCATGCTTTAGCAATTTGATATTTTAATCTTTGTAAGTATGTGTGTTGTTTTTAAAAGTGAGATCATTCTACATATACATTTTTGTAATTTGTTTTGTGTGTGTATTTTGTTTATGCTCTTTAAAGGGTAATTCATTTTATTTGAATGTGATAAAATAAATATAACATGAAATCTGCCATTTTAACCATTTTTAAGTGTACAGTTCAGTGATTTAATTACACCCGTGATATTGTATGGAGTCCTGGTGTGGAACTATAGGCTAAACACTGGACTGCTAACCACAAAGTCAGTGGTTCAAACCCTCAGAAACCCTGTAGAGGGTTGTTATCAGCTAGTACTATCTTTTGTGGTTTTTTTTTTAATGTTTTATTGTGAATTATGTGATAGTTTACATGGGAGAACATTAGCATTACATTCATTTTATCATATTGTGTTTCATTGCCGTGGTTAAAATACCCATGCATCATCAATCAACCAAAGGGTATACCCTGCAAGCCTGCCTCCTAGTCATCCGCACACAGCCCCTCTCCCTCTCTGGGTCTAGAGTCCCCAGCTGCTCCATCTCTCCACGTCATCGTCTCTGCCTCCATCTCTGGCATTACTGCTTCTCTGGATAGGGTCCCACACTCCGCTTTTCTCCCTTGATGGTCCCAGGGACCTCCGCTCCTGGTCTGCAAAGTCAACCACTCCACTCCTTTTGCTACAAGACGTCTACCTTTACATTTCCAACCCTCACAGTCAGTCCTGATAAAAATTATTCACTATTGTATCACAGGAGACCTATCCGCATTTCATTTCATCAGCTCTGCCTAGACAGATTAGATTCTACTCAGTGGAGATTCTACCTCTCTCCGCACCCTCTGGATCTAGGCTCCCTCTTGAAAGCTTGTGGAAGCCAGTCACTTCTTGCCTTTGTAAACCTCCCCACCCCCCATCCCCCATTTTGGGTAGCCAATGTCCAAGTTGCCCATTCCTATCTACCCTGTGTATTGAGGGGGTGGGAATGATCCTCAGTGTCAAGATTTGTTCCCTCTTTTAAGCTACTGCATTCATAGGGGTAGGTCTTGGAATCTTTTTTCATAGAGAATATAAACATTTCTGCATTTTTAAGGACTATATTGTTGTTGTGATGTGCCGTGGAGTCGGTTCTGACTCATAGTGACCCTATATAGGGTTTCTGAGGCTATAAGTCTTTACGGAGCAGAAAGCCTTATCTTTCTCCTGTGGAACAGCTGGTAGTTTCGAACTGCTGACTGTGAGATTAGCAGCCCGATTCATAACCACTACGCTACCAGAGCTCCTTAAGGACTACATAGTATCCCATTTATGAGTGTATAATTTATTTACTCAGATTCCGATTGTTGGACAGATAAATATAATTAATAGTTCTGAACTTTTACTGTAATAGTACTTTTAGTAGTGTAAATCTGAGTAAGAACCTGAGCTGACAAGAAGAACAAATAGAAGAGAGAAATTGTTTTTTTCCTTTTTTGCATAATGAGGCCAGGGCCAGGTGCCCAAGTTTGTTTATTCAACACACATTTTATTAAGTGCCTGGTGTGATGCTGTAAGTTAATGCTATGGACTGCAAAGTCGGCTTGAACCACAAGGTCACTCGTTTGAACTCACCAGCTGCTCCTCGGAAGCCCTATACAGGGTCAGTATGGTTGGAACCAACTCAATGGCAGTTAAGAACAAAACAACAATGAGTAGAGACCATCGCTATAAATCAGTACCGACTCGATGGCACCTAACAACAACAATAGGATAAGAAGATATGGAGCTTGCCCTCAAGGATCTTAAACTGGAGAAGGGAAATGTGAAAACAAATAATCTCTTCGTATTAGTAATAGCTAGATGTGGAATGAGCGATGTCAATGCTGATGTCAGGTGGATCTTGGCTGAATGCAGAGAAAACTAGAAAGATATTTACTTCTGTTTTATTGACTATGCGAAGGCTTTCTGTTGTGTGTGAATTATAACAAGCTATGGACCACACTGAGGAGTATAAGTATTCCAGAATCATGCTCATGAGAATTTATACTTAGAACAAGAGGCAGTCATTCAAACAGAACAAGACACTGAATGGTTTAAAATCAAGAAAGGTGTGTGCCTGAGTTGTATTCTTTCACCATACTTAGTCTGTATGCTGAGCAAATAATTTGAGAAAGCTGGATTATTTGAAGAAGGTGGCATCAGGATTGGAGGTAGACTCAGTAACTACATGTAATAAGCAGATGACACAACTTTGCTTCATGAAATTGAAGTGGACTTAAAATACTGGTGAAGATCAGAGACCACAGCCTTTGGTATGGATTGCATCTCAACGTAAAGAAAGAAAAATTCTCAGCACAGAACCAACAAATAAAATCCATGTCAGTGGAGAAGAGATTGAAGTTGTCAAAGACTTCATTTTGCTCAGTTCAGCCGTCAACACTCATGGAAGCAGCAGTCAGGAAATCAAAGGACATATTGCATTAGGTAACTCTGCGGCACAAGACTTCTTTAAAGTGTTTAAGGGCTAAGATTTCTGTTTGAGGAGGAAGGTGCGCCTGATCCAAGCCGTGGTATTTTCATTAACCTCATATGCATGTGAAACCTAGACAGTGAATAAGGAAGATCGTAACAGAATGGATGCATTTGAGTTACGGTGTTTGAGGACAATATTGAAAGGACCATGGACTGCCAAAAAAACAAACCAATTCTGTCTTGGGAGAAGTCGTCACAATGCTTCCTGAAATCCAGGATGGTCCCAACTTTGTCTCCCATACTTTGGCCATATCAGGAGGGCCTAGTCACTAGAGAAGGACATCATGTTTGGTAGAGTAGAGGGTCGGAGAAAAAGAGGAAGACCCCCAGTGGACTAGCAAGCACAGTGGCAGCAGCAGTGGGCTGAGGCTTAGCAATGATCGTGTGGTTGGTGTGAGTCTGGGCAGTGTTTTGTTTCTTGTGTGCATAGGGTTGCTGCGTCAGTGCTGACTTGATGTCACCTAACAGCAACAATAATAATAGCTAGCATTCATTCCCTTTGTGGTGAAGACCTTCAAAAAATGGGGCGTTGGGACAGGGCAGGGGGAGGGGCTGTGAGACTGGTGAGGAGGCTCAGGTGATCAGCTTTTCCAGGAAGTTGACAAGAGAAATTGGGAACCTGGCTCAGAAGTGGAGGTGATGGAAAGGTTTGCATAGGATCGTGCAGATGAGGAGCTGCCTGCCTTCTTTAGTTCAAGAAGAATTTTAAAACTCAGAGCTGTAAAATTTAGCTATAAGGCAATTCCAGATGTATTTGTAAAAAGAGACTGAACATTGCTAGAGTTTATCTGTGAATGGTAACATCTCAGTCAATTGTGAAAAGTGAACTTTGATGTCTAGATTCAAGAATACCTGATTTCTAGCCCTTACTGTGGGTTTTAAGGAGCGCTGATAGCTCAGTGGTTACAAGTTGATCTGCATTTTCAATCTGCCAGGTACTCACTCTGTAGGAGAAAGAAGAGGCTTTTCTGCCTTGGAAACCTTATACAGGATCACTATGAGTCAGGATCGACTCCTATAATCCCACCATTGTGGTTTTTAAGGGGCCTAGTAGTGCAGTGAGTCATTTCTCACCTGTTAGCTGAGAGGTCGGCAGTTAAAACCCACTGGCCACTCTGAAGAAAGATATTGTAGTCTGCTTCTTTAAAGGTTACCCTTTTCCATCTCATTCACTGTCTCATAGTGACTGTGATACAGAGGAGAACTGCCCTATAGGGTTTCCAAGCCTGTCAATCTTTACAGAAGTGGACTGCCTTATCTTTCTCTTGTAGGCTAGCTGACTTGCAGGTTTGACTGAACAGCTTTTAGGTTAGCAGCCAAGTGCTTAGGCTCCTGCTGTAACAGGTTTGATTTAGTCTCTGTTAGTGGTTTTAAGAGAATGGCAAGCCAGTATGGAGTGAGGACAGCCTAGACACCTGGCTCTGACCGCCGTTGGCCCTCTGTGTGTGCTTCCCCATTGACAGTGAGGCCGGTGTTGGTGCAGGGCAGGAGCCACGCACAGTGCACCTCTTCCCCCAGCTTGTTGCTAATCTTTCTGAATCCCCAACAGAAACGTGAACATCTGCAGACTTGTGTTAAATGCATTATTAAATATATTTTTGGGTTTTGTTTTATATATTTGACTGTAATATGTAAAATTTCTGACATGTATATTTTGTAAAGTTTATTTTTTATAGGTATTATGATAATTTGTTGTTGTTAAGGGCTGTCGAGTCGGTTCCAACCCACAGCGATCCTCTATAGGGTTTCTGAGGAGCGGCTCGGGTCAGCCCCACCAGTTGCTCCTCAGAAACCGTATATAGGGTCGCTATGAGTCGGAACTGACTTTATGGCTCAACAACAGCAACATTCGTGAATTGAACTATTAATGTTAGTTTCCTTGAATATTGAAGTCAGTATTCTGAAAGTGTGATGTAACATGAATTAGTTTCACCGCGTGGTTCTCACCATGTAGTCTCTGGGCAGGCCTCAGCAGCATCACGTGGGAACTTATTAGAAGGGTGCTCTTGAGACCTGTCCCGACAGACCAGAAAGCGGGCGGGGAGGTCTAGTGTCTTTGCTGTAACTAGTCCTCTCAGGGACTCTGATGTCAGCCAGAGTTGAGGGTGCTGGTTTAAACCTCAATTAAGAGGGTCTTTTCTTTTTCCTGTGGATGTGCTAGCTGAAAGTTGGATCTGATATCAATAAAAAGACTTATTTACCAACTCTTTTTAAATCTCAACAGGTGACACGTGGACAGAAACACTGGCTTATGTGCTCTTCTGGGCCGTTGCAAGCATTGGAACATTTTTTATTATCCTTTACAATGGCAAAGATTTTGTTGATGCGCCCAGATTAGTCCAGAAAGAAAAGATAGACTGAATTTGTGTCTGTGGAAAGCGGCTTGGCTTAGAAGATTCCATTATGCAGAACTGGAGTCTTTACTGACCTGCTTTCCACATCATTCCGAGGTCTTTTTAAAAAGCATCTCTGTGCTCTGTGCGGTGTTCCTGCCTTGATGATCTCTCTAGTATTGGGATGGTGATACTGATCATTTGGAGTTAGTCTGTAATTAAAATGCAATTTGAATTTAGCTCAGTAGAATGGACGAAATTCATTGTCAATCTAAGCAACTGTTGCAGAATCGGTAATACGTATTTTTAAAAAAATCTAGCGTCTTTCATCATTTACAACAGCAACATTATTTTTGTAGCCCAGTTTCATTATTGTCACTTGTTAGTTAGCACACATACTTTTCCACACATTTTTGGGCTTTTCTTAAAATTGTCATAATAAACTAACTATAGCACTATAGGATAAGTACTATACTGCTAACTTCAAGGTTGGTGGTTCAAACCCACCAGCTGCTCCTTGGAAACCCTGTATAGGGTCATTTGATGAGATGGTCTGTGGCTTCCTGGTAGGAAGAGAACAGCCAAGTTTGGCGGTATTGTACAGGTTTCTTTTGGGTTGCCTCAAGAGTTTCAGTCAACTTGAACTGCCTCAGTTAGACGAGGAGTTTTAAATGTGATGAAAAGTTCAGATATTCTTTATCTTTTTTAGAAGGTGTAAATGCAGTCAAAGAATGTAAAGTCTCTCTCTTATGCTAAAGGTCCAAAGCCTCCTCTGTTTTAAGGTTTGTCCCAGTGTGGAAAGTTCCCTTCAATAATCAGCTACTTCCTCTTGCACATTCCGGTTCCTTTGCGGGGGCCACTTGCTGAGACATGCCAGCTTCTGAGATGCTCTTATGCTGGAGTGGATGTTTTGCTTGGGGCAGCAACTTCTTTTCCATGCATGGTACTGTTGATGATTTCCACTCCATCAAGGTTTCTGTTGGCTGTCAGTAAGTGTGTCTCAAATTGAATGCTTCCAGATAGGTATAGTGCTCCTAATCAAAGACCAACTTAATTTCAATATGTGTGCAAAAATAATCAGAAATATGCTTTAGAAGCTGTGCATAGCTCTAATTGTAAGTTGAATTGTACATTCAAATTGTAATTATGAGATTTAAATATTAGAAAAATACGTAAGGTAGTATAATTGACATTATTTTTAAACTTCATTTAAACACTGCTACAGTATTTCAGTGTTGGGCTTGAAGAGATGTACATGCTTTCTAATAGTAATACTTTATGTTGTCCTTATATATTTCTAAAAGCACTTTTATTTCAGCATTGCGTTTTTGCAACATTATCTTTTATAGATGTTGTTATGAGTTGTTGCTTTTAGAAACTCTAAAGGAAATACTAGCTGGAAAATCCTCTGCCGCTTAAAATTAGTCATTAAAACTTGTAATAGGTAAGAAAGTAGACCTGCCTATTCTTAATATGTACATAAGTATAATTTGTTCCAAAGATACTTGGAATATTGAAACTTAGTTCGTGTCTATTGTAATATATTACTCAAATGCTTTTGGGCATTTCACATTACGAACGTATGTCAACAACTACAACAGAACCCAAATCTAAACTGCTGATGTGGCTGCTCTGCAGTAAATGGACTAATAATGATGGTGTGTTAGATCTGAGGGTATCAATATTTCAGAACCCTACAGTGATTTTGTTTCTAAATTCATGTACTGTATCTCCATAAATGAAAATAAAATGTCATATTCTTTTCTAACGACTGCTGGCATTGTTACTACACTTGGTTTTGTCTTGAAAAGTATTGACCTTCTTTTTTTAACCTTAGACTTAAAAATTATGCTAAGTAATACATGATCATTTTAGAAAAGTTAGACATTATAAATAGCAAGAAAATAATAGCCTCTGAAATCCTACTTGACAGTTAACAATCATTTAAAAATTGTATAAATGCTTATAGTAATATTTCTAAGTTTTAGGTAAAACCAGAGAAATACCTAGTTATGTCTATTAAAAAATCTCTTTCCCCCTCCCCCTTCTAATTTGTTTTTCAAAATGATGAAGGTTCTAACGGATACATGGGGAGAGCTCAGCTTGACTGGAGAAGGTTGTCTTCGGGCTGCAGGACAGGGTTGGTGAGCATGAGGGGATGCTGATGGCAATGCACCTCCGCATCCTGGGAGGTGTTGGGCACTTTGAGCATGGATTCTGGGCACTGTACGTGAACTGTCTGTGAATGGTATACCACCCCGGTGTAATCTCCCCACACATACCAGCAAGGTCCAGAGTCCTCCTGGGAAGGAGTTGTCAGCCATTCTGCCTCTCACCCCCATGATCTCTGCCTTTCCCTGGAATGTGTTGAGTGTGTTGTCCTGTGCCTGGCAATTTCTAACTCGTTTCTTTGCATGGGAAAAAGCCAACCGACATTACACTATAGTGTGAATGAAGTTTAATCAGTGTGTTTCTTTAGTTACCCATTTGTGCTCTGAGTCTCTATAGCTACACTTTGGAATCCTATTCAGGGTTGCTTTGAGTCATAATTGACTTGACGGCGCATAACATCAGAATGAAAGACTTTGTCCCATTTGGGATTCAGTGAGCAAGAGTGGGCCAGTATGGGGAGGGTTCCCAGAGTTACAAGATGCAGAATGTCAGTCCTGATGCAAAAAATAGGATTTACTTTTTGTGTTAAGATTGCTGTTGTTGTTAAGTGCCATCTAGTTGGTTGTGACCCTGTATAGGGTTTCCAAGGAGCAGCTGGTGAGCTTGAACTGCTGACCTTGCAGTTCACACAGCTTTACAGTCTGGGACATTAACCCACAGGCCACACCAGGACTCAAGATCCTTGTTGTTGTTGTTAGGTGCCATTGAGTTGGTACTGACTCATATTGTGACCTTATGCACAGCAGAATGAAACACTGCCTGATCCTGGGCCAACCTCACTACTGTTGCCACGCTTGAGCCCATTGATGTGGCTGCTTGGCTAGTCTATCTCGTTGGGGGTCTTCATCTTTTTCTCTCTAACCCTCCATCTTACCAAACATGATATTCTTTTCCAGTGACTGGTCCCTCCTGACAATGTCCGAAGTATGAGAGATGAAGTTTGACCATCTTGGCCTCCAGGGAGCACTGTGGCTACACTTCTTCCAAAACAGAAATGTGGCAAATCCAAAGCCGAAATAAGAAGGAAAAAAGGAATCTGGAGTGTAGGGGAAGGGTGGTGTTGGGGGGGAAAGTTGCTTAAACCAATTAGGGTTTTTTTCCTCCAGCTTGTCTGAGTCCTGAGGCAGACTAGGGTGGAGTGTACCAGTGCCAAGACTGGTGTGGCATCTGAAGCGTCACCAGTGTCGGCTCTTTTCCTGCTTCTTTGTCTCTACCATGTGGCTTTCCATCCTGCTCGTTGACGATGAAGATGGCTGCTGGAGCTCTGACCGTCATTTGCAGCATCCAGATATGAAGACAGATTACAATGCATAGTGACCCTGTGTAGGGTTTCCAAGGAGAGGCTGGTGAGCTTGAATTACTGACCTTGCACATTTTCCCACAGTGCCAGTGGAGAACAAAGACTGACTAATGAAGCCATCATGAAGACAAACAACTTGTAGCTTACTGGTTCACCCCCATCTGCAAGGGAAGCTGGCCCATTTTCAGTATTGGGCATCTGTGGACGAGGAGAACGGATATTGGGTAGGCCATTGACGATCTCCGCCACATTTCCCCCCAGTTACTTACTATGGAAATGGGGCAAGCTTGACTTTCCAGACATGATTTCCTTTGATCAAGCTGAAAGTGGAAGGCGTTTTCTGGCCTTGCTCATGACCTGGGGGAGGTTCTTATTACTGCTGCTCTATTTCCCTTGTCTGAGCACAGACCAGAGCCCATTATCTCCTGTGTCTCAAGGTCCTCAAATATCTAAATATCTACGTTTCACAGAATTTGGGGTGCTGTTTATAACATTCTCTGACACCCCTTCTCCCTCTCCCCAACCCCCCACTGAATTGCCTAAGTCGGTCCTCACTGAGTTGGTCGGCAGTTGACTACATTTCACATGGCAGCAAAGTGATCCTGCTTTTTCCTGTAGCAAAATGAACTGTTCCCAAATATTACTAGTACAAATATTTGTCTTTTACACACCTTCTCATTCTTTAAATAATAATTGGTAATGACATTTAACAAAACACAAACTGTGAATAACAGAGTATAAATTTGTTGATGTTTGTTTCTTTTTTTTTAGGTTTGTCAGAAGTATAAAGGAAGAAAAAATATTGACAGTTTTCTTTGAGAATGAGACGAAGAAGTGATTATTTCTGATTGAAGTAGCAGGGAAGGCTTCCTGGATTGAGTGGGTTGGTAGCCATTGCTTGGAATACGGTAAGTATGGAATGGAACTTAAAATTTAATCCTTGAATCCTGGCTTTACAACTTATTAGCTGTCTCATCTTGAGCAAGTCTATCACAATTTGAGGGGACTCATAGTTGTTAACTGGAACTACATATCTGCATTCATGATCCTTGACCTCAGACTAGGGATTCCTAGTTTGAGTAGGTCTGAGGTGATGCCGGCCACACACACGTTACTCCAGTGAAAAGAACCACGGAGGAACTCCTTTGGAGCCGTTATTCTTATTTGTGAAACGGAGACAATTACTCATTTCTTAGAGGTGTAAGGTCTAAGTAAGATAATACTGTAACTAATTCTCTAGAACATAGACATCCGTTTCCATTTTTATACGGAGTAGAGGTGATTGTTAAACTTGCAGACAACTTTATTTAGTGGTTGACAGGAACCATCGAGGCAGTATGGGAGACTCTCTGATAAAGCAAGGATTCTCAAGGTGTCAGTATCAGGGCCCCCAGGGGCTGTGGAAGCCTCTTCTGGAAAATTGAACTCAGCACTGTGTTCTTCAGAGGTCCCTCCATGGTATTACCCAGTGTGCAACTGTGAGCCTAAACATGAAATTGTTTTTTAAATTGGTTGTGCCTGTTTAGAGTCCTACTAGTTCGACATTTGGTATTGTAGGACTTGTAGTTACTAATCACTAA